CTTTTTATGTCACCACTAAAGGTCTTGTGACTTTTTCCTTAGGCTAATTCTTGCTAAGAAATTTGATCAGAAAAACACGGCCATAAATGATTATATCTTCTAAACATCTGAAATCACAGTGCAGAAAAGCGTGATCTGAACAGAGAAAAAATATAGGTCACTGCTGCTTTGTCATCAAATCAGCTAGAAAGTCTCCCTCTGTAATCGACGTACCAATRTCATTTAGTTTCGGCACATGCTCAGTTAAGCAGGCTTCATCTGAATGCCTCGGCTGTTCTGAATGATGAAGCTGCCCCATTGATGGGCTTTGCTTCAGGGATGTGCAGAGCAGGTCTTTCTACCAGATTTAACAGAAGTCGCAGAGAAAATGAAATTCTCCACTGGAAGCATTAGAAAATGAAGCCATGGCATGAAGAATGCATATCGCCCGCAGGCTTTCATGCAAGACTTGTAGACTAAGATCGCGTTATGTTGAGGAATGAAAAGGTTGTAGCCACTTTGGAAAAAAAGAACAAATTCATATGCTATCTCACACAATATTGCACAATTTATTAGCTCTCAAGGTATGTGTTGTGAATTACTCTCAGATTCAATTTTAGCTCAATATTTGTAAAACATTGAATTATAGGCTTTTTTTCCTGTGGTGGCCACTTTGAATGACTTAAAGTTGTAGATGTGTACATTCACTTAACACTTTGAGGGAGTTTCATTCAAATTCTTCTAGTGGGTCATAAGGTAGTTTGACAACAAACAGGCTTTAGAACAACACTTCATGCTGAAGTTTTAAGAAAAGCTATGTGGAATGCTCAAAGTATGTGTTGTGAATGACTCAGCTACTACCATACCAAATTTTACCTAAATTGGGTTACCTACAAAAGGTAATCAGTTGTAGTTGTATGTCTACAGAATGTTTCATTTAAATATGTTTATTGGTTCATTTGATATGTTGCTAACAGATACACAGAACTGACTTCAAATAGTTAAGCAAAATTATTAAGTAAAGGGACTTACATGTTTTTTAATCTTTCTTTGATTCTGTTTTACTTCAGACAACTCAGGGAACCTGCCTGCTTTCGTACAGTTTTTCATTAGAGTGCCCTCCTCCCCAAAGGGTGTCCTTCCTCCAACAGGCTAGAGAGGCCTTTGCAATCGGCCTTCTCACCAAAACAGACAGTGATGTGGTCACCAGTCAGCAGGAACTTCTCACCTTCCTCAAGGCGGCCTATTCTATCACGGTCACTCACAAATGGCTCAGCACCCCTCAGGAGGTCGTTACTAAGGCAGCTCAAGCTTGTCAACAAGCCTTAGCTAACTTCTATGGTTACTCCCGTGCCAATACTCAGGACAAAGAAAACCTCTGTGCTGAAATCATGCGTTTGATTGGACGAGTCAAGGTTCTGCTGGGTGTGAACCCATTTCCTAATTCAGATAAGGGATCTTTCATTCCAGACAGCTACAGAAATGTCAAAGACTCCACTGTAAACTTCACCCTGGAGGCGTTCTCAAAGATAATGAAGAGATTTCAAAAGTATCATGCGTCTTTATGTGAGACTACCACCAGACGTTGTAAGAGGACTAAAGATGAGACCGATGGGGCGAAGCTGTGTTTGACGGCTCTGGGGACAACCGCCGAAACGCTCCTTGTAGAATATAGAGCTGAAGTAGATCAACCTCAACAAAAAGGCTCAGACCCATCCAGTGGACATCTGCCCTCTGACTTTGACAAGTGTTCCACCACTGAAAGCTCAGACCAGCTGGGCTCTTCATGGCAGAGACTGTCTCTGAGTTCTTCTTGGCCCTCTGGACATGGAGAAAACTTGAGTAGCCAGAGCTGCATTACCACTGAGTGTGACGACGTCAAATCAGCCGATAAAAAAGAGAAAGAAAGCCCACATAACTCGGGCTCTGGTATCACTTCTCTCGCTGGTCCAAGGACTGTAGCATCCTCCAGTTTCTCTTCTAAAGATCCTAATGATTTAGAAAAGTCTGAATTAAAACAAGCTGAAATAGAGACAATGGATACTGAGGAGGACTGGATGGCTGATGTTGCACAGAAACAAGAAGATGGAGTTTTGCATTCACTTTCCCAACTGACTCTCAAAACATCCTCCAGTTCTCTCGGTGACAGTTTCAGTTCCCAGTCATCATGGGAAAAGATCTCAGCCGGTGAGAACTCTCCCACACGTGGAAAAACACAGCCAGGTCATCAGTTAAAACCTGGAATGGGCCAAATCAACAAGTCTCTAGATTCAAACGAGAGCTTCTTTATCTTGGAAACAGTTGATTATGAACCCAGCCCCCCAGATGTCGATGCCACAAAGAATCATCAGTGGAAAGTTAGTGCCTCATCTGAACCACAACCTTTGATGAGCTGCAATATTTACTCAAACATGGAGACTGAAGTTGATCCCGAACCTGTAAAACCTGCAACCATCAACTCTTCAGTAGCACATTACAACTTGTCTCAGCTTGTCCCGGACCAGAATGCAGTTACAGAAACCTCTGACAATTCATTTGAGATGCTGGAGATGGATCAAAATAGTCACCACCTTAATGAACTGACATCTATAGAAATTATACCTCAGAGCAGGAACCCTCTGTGCTTCAGCTGCCTAAACCACAAAACAGCAGCTGCCGTCACTCCTGTCAAACAGTTTGAGTTGTCCAAGCAGGATTACCAAACTCTACTGGCCGGAGTTTGTCATGAATGCCTTCTGACAAAGTTGTACAGCGACACAACTCAGTTTAAACTCAACAGAAACAATGCTGCCTACAGTAAGTTGTTTTTTAGATTGCTTATCTTTGTCTTTAATATACTATACCTTTGTAGACACAGTAGTAGTGAGGATTGATGATCTCCAGGGGATGTTCTTGTATTTTATACAAATCCATCCTAGATTTACTGAATGAACTATAGACCAAGGCATGATTATTACCCACTGCCTTTCACATCTGAGTTTTAGACTAAGAACAACTTATATTGAGAAATGACAGGGTAAAAGACATCTGGGTCAAACCTTGAAAATAATGTTATGGGCAATCTGTGACAAGTATGTGTGGTGAATTACTATCAGCTGCTACCATATCAAACTTTAGCTCAATATCCAGTGGTGGGCAGCACTAATCTAAAAATTAGTTTCACTAGCCCTAAAGCACTAACTCATATACGTACAGGTCCTTCTCAAAAAATTAGCATACTGTGATAAAGTTCATTATTTTCTGTAATGTACTGATAAACATTAAACTTTCATATATTTTAAATTCATTGCACACCAACTGAAGTAGTTCAAGACTTTTATTGTTTTAAAGTTGATGATTTTGCCAAAAAAGTAAAGAAAAACCAAAAATCCCTATCTGAAAAAATTAGCATATTTCAYCCGACCAATAAAAGAAAAGTGTTTTTAATACAAAAAAGTCAAACTTCAAATAATTATGTTCAGTTATGCAGTCAATACTTGGTCGGGAATCATTTCGCAGAAATGACTGCTTCAAGAGTAACTTACCCCAAAATTAACTTTTTTTAGCTGATAAACTGTCTAGAATGTGTC